AATGTGAATTTGGTGGATGGGGAGCCAAGAAAGAAAGAAAAAAAAAACAATGCAAGAAAAACTTCATTGTTGAATGGCATGACTTTAGAAGGAGGACAGGGAAGTGTGTGTGGAGAGAATAGATTAAGCAAAGCTTCATCAAGATTAACAAAGGAAGATTATTGGCCTCAGCAAGAAAGAGCAGAAACCTGTTTTATCTTTAACCTTAGGAGAGGAATGTTCCGTAGTTGGTGGGAAACCTCTCTGAAAATAAGAATAGCAACTTCCTGTTGGATTATTTCCCGATCTCGACCTTTCTTGAGAGGGGTTCTGGTTAAGAGAAATATTATTGCCATCCCAATGAAAATTATTTCCTCCTTTGAATTGGGAATGTAAGGATCCTTGTCTGGAATGGTGGTAAGTTCAGGATTGGTGTACAAAAACGGGGCGGAGGGAGGGGGGGCTGCTAAATTGTCTCCCTCCATCTTGCTTTTTTTAAAACAACAACAACAACAACACACTATTAGATGCATGTTCCAGTAGCATGCATTAGCATGGCATTCTTGATATCAAAAAGTAAATGATCCCAACAGTCAAAGATTGTAAGTATGTTATATGTATATATACATATATGCGTGTAAACATGTGTATATGTATGTTAACCTCATAAATATATTGTTAGTAATGTGAAGAGATGAACGTTGAAATGCCATGAATGGAGAACATAGAATACAGAACACAGAGTAATTAAAACATGGGAATGTTTCAATTAATTAATGTTCTAATTAATAGCAAATAATTAAAACATGGGAATGTTTTAATTAAAACATGAGAATAAATGTCTTTGGGGGGTAAGACTAGAAGTGAGGGAAGAGAAAGATAGAGACTAAAGCCCTGATAAAAATTGTGATTTATTTCTGATTTCCACACTCATTTATTAATAGCATCATTCCTCCTTTTACTGTCAGTTTTGTACTTTTTTAAAAAATAATAGTTACTTTTACAATAATGAAATATAAGTAATACAGCAGCAACAACAATACAGTAATCGATTTACAACAGAACCCTATCCCTTCTAATGACAGTGACTAAAATAAACTAAATATATTATTGTCAAAACAAGCCTTCCTCCTATCTTAATAGCTGGATAACAACTCTATGAATTCTTAAATTTATTAATAAAAAGTATGAATAATAAGTGATGAATTCTAACAAATTATAAATACATTCTAATAAATAATAAAGCCCAATAAATTTTTCTTCCTTCTTAATAGTTCCCTACGTCCAGTTAGATCCCACAGGCTGGGCCTCCTTCAGGCCCCGTCGGCCAAGCAGTGCCATTTGGCGGGGCCGCGGAGGAGGGCCTTCTCTGTGATGGCGCCCACGCTTTGGAACCAGCTCCCCCCCGGAGATTAGGACCGCTCCCACCCTGTTGGTCTTCCGTAAGCTACTTAAGACCTGGCTTTTCCGGCAGGCCTGGGGTTTATAAAACCTGACCCCTGGATGATTGTCTTTGTACTGTTGTTCTGTTATGTTTTATATGGTTTTTTATTGTTAGCCGCCCAGAGTCCTTCGGGAGTGGGGCGGCTTATAAATTTTAAAAAATAAAAATAAAAATAAATAAATAAAATAAGTGGGACCATCTAGTCCAGCTGGTCTCAGATGTTCTCAGAAGCTGAGCAGGGAAGGCTTTGGTTAATATTGGATGGGAGACTTCCAGGATTTGTAGGCTAGGTTGGGGCCAGAGGAAGCATCCCAGAAAGAAGCTGATAGCAAATTACTTCCATAACAGCTGCCAAGAAAATTGCACAAGAATCAAGCTTAACTCAAAAGCTTCGGTGCTTCAAGGGAATTGCGCTTTTGGTCAATTGCTCTCTTAGAACACTTATGTCAGTATTAGAAATTTAATATTAAAAGTTAATGAGAGAAACTTGAGAATAAAGTGAAAGGAATTGGTTACTCTTACTCTGTATACTTAATTTGGATTAATCATGTTTGTGGTTCCCGGAAACAAAAAGAAGCCAGAATTAAAATCCTAGTTTAGAGGACAGGCAAGCTATAAGAAAGTTGATCCTACTGTTTTATCAAGACTCAAGTCCCCTAAACCTCTGAACTTTGTAAAGGAAGAATTAATTGTTTAAAAGAGTCTTGTATTTGCTCAAAGACAAACTTGCAGAGCACCTTTATTTTTGCCATGATTAAGGGAATTAGGTATGTCTAGTTTAATGAAAAAAGGGGCTAGCTGTCCATGATGATATGACAGCAATTTTCCAGTACTTGAGGGCTATCATATAGAAGAGGGGGTCCACTTATTCTCCAAAACACCTGAGGGCAGGACAAGAAGTTACAGGTGGAAAATCATTAAGGATGATTAAAACTAAGGAGAAATGTCCTGATAGTGAGAACAATTAACCAGTGGAACAGCTTGCCTCCAGAAGTTGTGGATGCCCCATCACTGGAGATTTTCAAGAAGAGACTGGACAGCTATTTGTCCAGAATGCCATAGGAACTCTTGCCATTGGCTGGTGTTGGACTAGAACAGTGGTTCTCAACCTGTGGGTCAGGACCCCATTTGGGGTCAAACGACCATTTCACGGGGGTCGCCAAACAACGCAGTCTGCCATTTTTTTCCCCTTTTCCTTAGCTGTGCTACTCCCTTTTATTCTATTGGCTTTTGAAAGCCAATAGAATAGACTCTCTTGAATAGAGTCTAAGTCTATTGGCTTTCAAAAGCCAATAGGAATTGTCCAGGCTGTCTCTGCCCTGCTGAGCCTGCCAAATGTCCCATTCTACAAACGGTGCTGCACCAGTTGAGTAGTCCTCGACTTACGACTGGTTGAGTAGTCCTCGACTTACAATCGGTTGGGGGTCACGGTATTAAAAAGGTTGAGAACCACTGGACTAGAAGATCTCCAAGGTCACTTTCAACCCTATTATTCTATGTTCTGTCAAGATTCCGACAGACAGAGACAAATAAAGCAGAACTCCGAGGCTTGCAAGTTCCTCAAAGAACATTTTTATTGATACAAAGTATTGGCACGTCAAAAGTGAAACCAAGTCTGAATAGACACGTAACAATCCCCAGTACAAAGTTGAAATCCCACCCTTAAAGCTTCTTGGTGGGCTTTTCACAAAACACCCAGCCTGCAGTCCCAGGAGCAGCCGATGACCTTGGTTCCCACGGGAGAAAGTCTGTTTTGTCTAGCGAAGCATCTGGTAAACCCCCCTCCCTCCCTCCCCTATGTGTCAACTGAAAATGAGTAGGGAAAATGGCTGCAGCCACGCTCATTTTCAAAGTTGACATGTTCTTTGAAATGGTACGTTATAAGAAGTTTGTATTATAAAGATAAGAGCCCCCCCAAAAAACTTATAGATTTATGTAATTAAAGCAGAAATGGGATAAAAGTGTCCTAAAGCCAGAAAAACATGAAACCCAACCTTAGTTGGGCCATTAAAACAAGGATTCCTAAAGCAACTTTAAGATTTAATATATGCTATACTGCATTTTTTTTTTAAGGAAAAGCACATTACCTCAGTATGCATAAATATCATAGGAAGACAATTATAGTGCAACAACAAAAAGGGCAGTTTAAGAGATGCAAGAAACTAAAAGAAAATTTACAAAGAAAAAGAGGAAAGGAGCAAAGTAGGGCCAAAAAGGAAGGAAGGCAGAGAGGGAGGGAAGTAACATTTGAAATATCAGGTGTGAAGAATTATGGTTTCATCATGGCAAACCAGAATGTGCATATTAAGTCAAATCCATTAAAATAGGTGAGAATATGCTTGGTAACTTTAATGAGAGTCAGATCTCACCTTTATTGAAGAGAAGGATGCTTTTTATTTGGCCTGGCATTTGCAAGCATCATTACAATATCCGGAAATTTGTGTTTAAAAGAATTATTAAAAAAAATACAGAAGAGCGATATGGGATTGGGGCAAGGAAGAGAATAAATTAGAAATATCTAAATGAGCTGAACTGTGCAGGAAAAAACCAGAATAGCTGGTGGAATTGACAGAGAGGTCTGCAGAAAATCAAAGTAGTAGCTGTAAAAGTTTAATCAAAGTGTGACACGGATTTTAAAAAAGTAGATCTGATGTAGGAGAAAAGCAAAAAGATCTGGATGGCAGAGTTAAATGAGTCATCAGGCTAGAGTTGATATGTTGCCATAAACAATTTTAAGTTGAACACCTCTTGAATTTGATTACCTGGTGCCAATTTAGTGTTGGACTTAGTTGACTAGATTCTGGTGTACAGACTTGAGCAATAAAACTTCTTAACTGCAACTTAAAGCATGATCCTGATTCTTTGCACCTGACAGTTTCAGTCCCATCAACATGGCTACCATCTGAACATTTTTACCATATCCTGTGGCCATCCATGTGTGTATATGTGTGAGTGTTTGCATGTGTGCACATGCCTGGGTATGTTGAGATAGGAAAACTTTTGAAGAAGCCAAAACAGAACTGGGTATTTAGCATCTGAGTGCTTCATTCTCAAGAATCATTATCCTCTGCACAAAAGGAAACAAAACGAACTGGATATAGATTATGATGCAACAAAAAGAAAAAAAAATCTGTTAAGGTTGACCATTACATTCTGTAGAGAAGCAAACAATTAAAGGTAATCCATAACCTTATTATAGGAAAACTAGTGAACATCAACAGTTCTCATTTGGAGAACTCATTTCTTTGTGTTGGTGTCTATAAACACAGACGTACATACACACAGGCACCTACATAGTATACATGTAAATACTCCCTTTCTCAATTTTTCTCATTTAATCCTGTAATCTTATTTTATCTTTGATGGAAAGCCTTTGTTTTCGGTATTTTTTTTTTCCTTCAACCACTCCATCATCACAACTGGTTCCTTGAAGTAAATGTTCATTTATATACAAATAATAAATTAACCAGGCCCCTCTCTCAAGAGCTGGTCTTCCTTCTTTCCTTTGCCAGTGTACATGCCAGTGTATTTGTATGTTTCTAAGGGTTGCTACATGTGACCTTCTTTTCCCTTCCAGGAAGTTGATGGCAATAAAGTGATGTCTTCATTTGCCCCACACAACTCATCTACCTCCCCCTCGAAGGCCGACGAAGGTGGGCGCCAGAGTGGAGAATCTTTTTCCAGCACGGTGCTGGGAACTCCTGAACGGCGTAAAGGAAGCCTAGCAGATGTGGTAGACACTCTCAAACAGAGGAAGATGGAAGAGATGATCAAAAATGAACCTGAAGGTAAGGAGAAAGGTTGACTTTGCTACTCTGATCAACTGGACGCCCCACGTTCAGGAAGATGAGTGTCTTCTTAGGTCTTTGGTTTTTCTCTTCATGTATTGTGGATAAAGAGGACACCATGATGGATAATATACAGCAATCCAGATGTGGTTGGACAAAAACGTCCTGTTTTTCCTACAGTATATGCCAGGCATTTTTCTAGTTGGCATCTTTCTTTACCCCTGATTGTGAAGATCAGGCTACAAATGGCTCTGAAATTGTTTCCTGTGTAAGGAGATATTTTCTTCCATAGTTCCGGGCCTGCTTAGCTTCTGAGAACACTTGTGCCTATCAGATCTGCCAAGGTTCCCTTAGTTTTGGGCAGCAGTCCATCTTTCCCTTCTCTCTTTCTTTCCTTTTATCTCCCACAACCTCAACTCATCTTGAAATGTGACCAAAAGCTCACGGCCAGCATTTTCCTTCACTATTGAGCCCATAAATGGTGGGGATTCAATAATATCGGGATCGTTGGATATATTGTGTACATTACAGTGACAAACATAAGTTGTTCTGAGTCTTAGGAGCACGTTTCTCCTTTCTCTTCCTTCCTTCTGCATAGTCGCAGAAAGATAGCTAACCTCAGTTTCCATTATTGATTATCTGAGACAGAAAGAGTCCCCCAAACCAGGGGTCCCCAACCTGTGGGCCATGAGGGGTTTGCAACTGAGCCATGGAAACAGCCAGCAAGTGCCTGTGTGCGCCCATGCATCCTCACTTGCATGAGCAGCAGGCAAGTGCACACACGTGCGCTCCATTTGCGTGAGCGACAGGTGCGCGTGCACGCCACTTGTGCAAATGGAGTTGCACATGCACGCTTGCCAGCCACTTGCACAAACCATCCCCTCCCCCTTTGCTGGTCCACAAAGCCGGAAACATTGGAGAACTCCAAACCATAATTTATGATGACTGTTGGCTCAACTAAGCCTACTTATTTTTCGGTGATTTAAATCTGATGTGCTTAACTGAAAGCATGAAAAATGACCATTGTTGGTCCATGTTTGAATATCGTGATAGACCGGGATTTAATCTAAACTTTTCAAATTTTTCTTCTTGACTTAACTTGAAGATGAAGTAGGGATGGAAGGTGTTCTGCAGTTCATTCTTATAACGCTAAAAATGATTTAATTTGATATGCAAATTAGCCCATAATCTGAAACACGGGGAGATAACAAAATGCCTTCCAGAGATTTGGGAAATCAGCTTCCATCAGCCACAGCCAACATGGTCAGAAGTAAGAATTTGTAAGAATTGTCAGCCCAAACATTTGGAAGACACTAAATTGCCTTTTTAATTTGCCTCTTAAATCCTGGATTAAAACAAACCTATCTATCTATCTATCTAGTCTTTGTATGTTACTCCCACCATTCCTTGCAATATTAAAATACATACTTATGTTCATTATGTAAGATGGAGCATCCATGTTCTTCTTTTAGTAGATAAATGATATAAAAGATTAGCCAAAACCTGCCTCTGAGGATGTGTTGCATTGACATTAGCATTGCATTCGGAAGTGAACTATACCCTTAATGCTGGCCATCACCATGCATGTCTTTGAGGGGATTAGCAATTTAAAACTATCCTAAATTAATAGTCAGATATTATTTGCCCTTTTGCCAAAGCAAAATGTAATGGGGATCTCTGTCTCCATCAAAGAACTGCCTGAAGCAATTGTACTCTGGAGATATTCCCTTAGAATGAAATGCAATGATGTTGAATCCAGGAGAAGGGTGACCTACTAGGTAGGCTTTAAATGGTAACCAGGTTTGGAAATTTGTAGTGCTCTTCACCTGCTATTTCCAATTTTTGATTCCAGAAACTTCATATCCGTTTCCTCTAAGAACTATAAAATGCTTCCCCTTAAGGAGAGCCAACATGTTGAAATGGTAGAATGGAGCTGGATATTATTTTGATGTGTGGAACTGCATTTAACATTGGGTGATAGGAGCCAGGCTGGAGATGCAGAGTGGATGAATCTAGTCTCCTATAGGATTGGGTGATGATTTTTCCCCAGTTTGGGGAAGTGGAAATAGTTTTGTTGTTGTATGTATATTTTTTTAACTCAATTAAGAATATTTTCAGAATCCTGGACTGTGCTGAGATGGACAAATTAACAAAAGAGATAAAAGAAAAAGAAGACACAGAGTATTATATAGTATGGAATAAGTTGTATGTCTGGTTGGAGACTAGAAATAATAGAGGAGAATAAATATGGAAAGGTCAAAAGTGAAAATATGTGTATAATAATGTATAATAATAATAATAATATGAATTATTCTTAGTAAGAAGTAGAACATGAAGGAAGAAAAATGTAAATAAGAAATAACGGGGCTATAAGGACAAATATTCTAAAGAAGAATAAGGGGGAAATGTAAATATTAGATTACCATTACGTAATTGCTGTAAAAAAAAGGAGTATATATATATTGTGTGTGTGTGTGTTATGTTTTGCTTTGTTCTGTTTTGTCTTGTTGGTTAAAAATAAAAATTAAAAAAAAAGAATATTTTCAGATTTGTTCTGCAGTTGCTTTGGGGCTGTGGGTCTCCCTCCCTCAAAACGGTGAGAAAGTAGGCCGCTGGAATTGGCAGCATTATTGGAGTAAGATTTGAGGTTCACAATTGTATTCAGATCTTTGGTTATTGCTTTTCCTGTCCTAAAATAAGATCCAGTGTGGTGCAATACAGTACTTAAAACTTTGAGCCAGTTCCTACCAAACTTCAACCAAGCTCACAGGATTAGGTCAAATACACTTTACAAGGGGGAACACTTGGTTCAATGGACAGCGTTTGCCTTGTTTTTGCATTGAACAATCCTTGTTTTGCCTTGCAGTTTTTCCTTCTCTACCTCCGTACATTGGAACAGAAAATGGCTTTATTGATTCATCTTTTCCTTCCTTCATTTTGTAGATATTGGCACAAAAGGTAGGAGTTTTCTGAGGAGCCAGCATTTTAGGGCACAGCAGTGGTAAAAAAAAGAGTTTAGAGACACCGTTGTGCCACTATAATAAATGATGGATGGTGAATTAACTAAAAATAGACTCTGAAATACTTTGGAATTCTTCACACCATTGCTAACACCAGTCCAGCTTCATCCCTTGTAGGGTTTGGCCAGCATCCAACTATAGCTGTCAGCCGTGTGGACCATCTAAATTTGTTCAGTGAAAACTAATCACCATGGTGATTGGAGCAGTGGAGATTCCTTCCTGCCCACATCCTGTTGGTAGTTAATGTTGTTCAGATGGACAAGGAAGAAATCTTGGTCTAAACAAGGGAACTTATTTTAAAGAGAAGAGGGTTCAGATGAATCATGTTTGGGCCTTAGCTGGCTCCATGGATGCTAGGAAAAGGAACTAATCACTGCAAAGTGATTAGATTTTGATAAGGGAATAGACCAGGAACTCATCAAATTTGCAGATGGCATCAAACTGGCAGGAATAGCCAACACCCCAGAAGATAGGCTCAAGATCCTATCCCTAACAAAAATGAAATTCAATGTAGAGAAAAGTGAGGTTTTATGCTTAGGCAGGAAAAACCAAAAGAAGGACAAGGGATGACATGAGAGCAGTGTTCCAATATCTAAAGGGGATCAACCTATTTCCCAAAGCACCTGAAGGCAGGACAAGAACAATGAATAGAAACTATCTAAGGAGAAAAACAACCGAGAACTAAGGAGGAATTTCCTAACAGTGAGAACAGTTAACCAGTGGAACAGCTTGCCTTCAGAAGTTGTAGGTGCTCCATCACTGGAGGTTTTTAAGAAGAGATTGGAGAACAATTTGTCTAAAATAGCAATAGCCCTTAGAGTTATATACCGCTTCACAGTGCTTTACAGTTCTCTCTAAGTGGTTTGTCGAGTCAGCCTATTGCCCCCAACAATCTGGGTCCTCATTTTACCGACCTCGGAAGGATGGAAAGCTGAGTCAACCTTGAGTCTGTCAGGATCGAACTCCTGGCAGTGGGCAGAGTTAGCCTGTAATACTGCATTCTAACCACTACGCCTCCAGGACTCCTAATGCACCATCGGATCAGCTACACTCAGCAATAGTAATAGCCCTTAGACTTACATACTGCTTCACAGTGCTTTACAGTCCTCTCTAAGCAGTTTACAGAGTCAGCATATCACCGCCAAGAATCTGGGTACCTCATTTTACCAACCTCGGAAGGATGGAAGGCTGAGTCAACCTTGAGTCGGTGAGAATCAAACTGTCAAACCACACTCGGCAGTCAGCAGAATTAGCCTGCAGTACTGCATTCTAACCACTGTGTCATCATGGCTCTGCTTGAGCAGGAGGTTGGATTAGAACAGGGGTCCCCAACCCCCGCTCCGTGAACCAGTACCAGGCCGCGGCATGCCAGCAACCAGGCCGCGCAAACAAACAAAGCCCCATCCGCAGGATGCAGGCAACACACAAAACCACGCCTCCTCCAGTCTGCGGAAAAACCTCTCTCCACAGAGCAGGTCCCTGGTGTCCAAAATGTTGGGGACCTCTGGACTTCCAAGGCTCCTTTCTAGTCTGTTATTCTGTCAAATTGCATGTTGACTATCACCATTTCTCCATCTCAGCCTATTCACATTTTTATGACAATCTGAACCTTTGTTCTTATGCAAGCAAAGATGGGTAGCATTTGAAGAGGGATGCTTGCTTGTCTTCCAAAGGGATGGAAAGTGATCTCAAACTGTGCTTAGCTTTTATAATGTCTCCTGCGACATATCTAGCTATGTGGCTTCTCAGTATCATAGGGGTCCCTTTTAACTACAGTTTAATAAAAGGAAACACATGCAAGTGAGATTTCCTGTAACATGTTCCAATTCAACTTGGCCAGAGCTTTGATATCCAGCCATTAAATACCAGGCTGAAAATAATGATTCGGGGGGATAGAAGAGTAGAAATATTTTGTGGGGGAGGGGAATACCTTATATTCATATTCACTTTCTTTCAATCCTGTTTAGTTCATCATTTGGTGCTCCTTTGAAGACATTTACCCTTCATGCTGCCGCAAGGATTTATAATGGCCGGGTTCGCATAGTATTATTAACTAGAGTTAAGGTTTAATGTACAACATGTGGTTGGTTGTTGTTGTTGGTTTTTTTTTATCTTGGACTGGTTTGTTTGTGTATGCGTGGCTGTGTGTACTATATGAACTTAGACCTTTTGGTTAGAGTAAGATCCAGTTTATTGTACGGATGTAAAAAGTGGGTTAACACAGTCATCAAGGTTAGGATATTGGGCAAATGCACCCACGGTCACGTGATCACATTTTGGTTGTTTGGCAACTGGCTCGCCTTTACAGCTGTTTGCAGCATCCCACAGTCATGTGACTGCAAGTTACAATGGTTTTTTTTTTTTTTTGCCAATTTCCAGTATTTACCGCATTTTCCAGCATATAAGACGACTTTCTAAAGCATGCAAATCGTCTCTGAAGTCGGGGGTCGTCTTATACGCCGAGTCGTCTTATACGCCGAGTTGCTGGAAAATATGGTACTTCTTGTTTCTGGCAAAAAAGAAAAAGAAAAAGAAAACCTATTGGGACAAAAGGATTCACTTAACTGCCATGGTGTTTCTTTAACCCATGGTGTAAGAACGGTCATGGTGCAGGAGTTAGAAGGCAGTACTGCAGGCTAATTCTGCCGACTGCCAGCATTTCGATCCCAACTGGTTCAAGGTTAACTCAGCCTTCCATCCTTCCGAGGTTGGTAAAATGAGGACCCGGATGGTTGGGGTTAATAGGCTGACTCTGTAAACCAATTAGAGAGTGCTGTAAAGCACTGTGAAATGATATATAAGCTTAAATGCTATTGCTATTTTCTAAAAAAATGTAACTTCAAATCCAGTCATGTGATGCCTTGACTGACGACTGCAACAGCCTATGAGCCTAAATTCTGGGGTCAGTTATGTTTGTATTTGGAGGATTACTTGTACCCCATATTAGTTGTGCAGTTCGGAAGCTTGAGCAAACCCATCCCTATACCCAACACACTCCTTTAGAGTAGGGGTCTCCAACCTTTTTGGATTGGCAGCCCGTTGGGAGAGGGAGGGGGAGGTGTGAATGTAGCCACACATACACACGCACATACAAACAGGCTGTGAGCATGCACACCACGCAAACGGGGCTGCAAACATGCACACGAGGCTCTCGGTGACGGCGACGCCTGTGTGTGAGGTTTGTGGTGCCAATGCCTCCAGGCTCATGGCAATTCTATCACCAGCGCGAGGCTCGTGCCACGGCCCACAGCGATGCCGCCCCCTGCTGCTTGTGGTGGTACCACCGCCCGCACAAGATTCGTGGCAATGCCACCACCTGTGTGTGGCGTGCCTTCGCCCACCTGCCGCTTGCGGCGCTGCTGCCCCCGCGCAAGATTCGTGGCACTACTGCTGCTTACGCAATCCTAGCATTGCTGCCACCTCCCGTACAACACTTGCAGCAACGGTGGCATGAGGGGGGGGTGAGCATGCACACATGCGCATGCACTGCTCAGCTACTCATGTGGCCCCGGCGGCCAAGAGGCCACGGCCCAGTAGTGGACTATGGTTGGGGACTTCTGCTTTAGAGGGATTATTTTTGAATTGAATATAGACTCTAAGCTTTGGAGTCATTGAATATTTCCCATTTCTTTTTATTCCCAGTTACGAATCAGTGGGAAACTGTGCCCCCATATCTCAGTGGTTTGCTGCTGAATTGCAGCAAAGCAGTGGAAAAACTCAGGAGCTACAGTAAGACACATTTTGGCCTGTATACATCTTGGAGATTATAGGTTGCCTATCTCTGCTAGAGTGTTTCTTCCAAAGCATTGTGTCACAAAAGAGATGCTCTTTTAAAGGAGAGTACTAATTGTTTGGTTTATTTATTGCTTTTTAATCTAAGTATGTGTTCCCATTAGACAGATGCGCTTCTCTTCTACTTTTTAAGAATCTGCATGCAGGGAGCTGTGCATGCTGTTTATCCAGAGTCCACGTGTTCATATATAATAATAAATAATATTATGCAAAATAATATTATAAAGTATATGCACGACAATAAATAGAATGATGAGCAAGAACAGCTGATCTGGACTAAATGTGAACCATCTCTTCATTATGGATCTAGAATAGATGTTCTAGATCAGAGACCTTTTGGGCACCGGGGACCGGTTCCGTGGAGAAAGGTTTTTCCACGGACCAGAGGGTGTGTGGTTTTGTGTGCTGCCTG